AATCTGAACCGTAGGTTGTTCAAATTCGAGTATGTTTACCTGAGCCTTTAACATAGCTTTGTCTTTGAGTAGCTGTAGATTCTCAAGACTCAACTAAGTAAATTTATCAAACATAGTCATATACTCTGTCTCGAGGTCTTCATTGAAGTCATCATATTCCTCTTCATTTTCAGAATTCTCAGTTGATTGCAGTTTCTTCTCATCTTCTTGTCCGATCAATACCACAAAATTCAGTACTAATTCCTCGCCATTACGGTCACTTTCAGATTTTGTGTCACTAAAGCATGCGAGTGATTTTTCCTTCTTCAGATTGCTTAGACACTCACTTCTTGTATGTCTGATACCATTGCATTCAGTACACCTAAGCTCTTTTCTCTTTGCTACAGGGCATTCCTTGTGATAATGGCCATAACCTTCACACTCTTGGCACTGTAAATTCTTCTCCCTCTCTCCCTTAGATGATGCAGACCTAGAACCTTGATTGCTGAAGCGCTCTGAATAATTCATGGAGAAATGATTATCTGACATGCTTCCACCTTTTTCAACATGTTTGAGCATTTTGTTGAAATTTTTAGCCATAAGACTCAGATTGTCTTCTAACCTTTTAACACGATCTTCTTCTTTAGACTGAACCGAAAATACTATTCCCTCTGAATCTTCTGATAACTCATCAGCTTCTTCCGGATCATGTACTTTCAATATCCCAGCCAGTTGATCGAACTTCATATCATCAGTGTTCATGGCTATATGAAGGACTGCCTTGTAAGCATCAAATCGTGGAGGTAAGCACCTTAGCAACTTCTTAACGAGCTTCTTTTCTTTATACTTCTTACCAAGGACATTAGCTTCGTTGGCAATTGAACTGATCTTAGACACAAAGCTAACAATGGATTCATCATCTTCCATTCGCAGGTTCTCAAATCTTGAAGCTAAGTGATCAATTCTGGTTCGTCTCACATTTGTGTCACCTTCAAAGTGATTAACCAGAATATCTCATGCATCCTTCGCTGATTCACAGCCTTGAATAATCTTGAACTGGTCCAGGTTAACAGCTGAATATATCATAGTAAGTGCTTTGGAGTTGAACTTTGATGCATCTTTTTCAGTTTTTGTCCATCTCTCCTTCGGTTTAGGAGCATATGTTTCATCTTCCATGAGCATAGTAGGTGACGAACAGCCTATCTCAACAGCAGTCCATGCGTCTTCATCTATTCCTCGTATGATATGTCGCATACGAGCCTTCCAATGGTCAAAACTCCCTTCATCCAACATGTAGGGACTCGGTAGGGTGATGAATTCTTTCATGGTTTCATTGACTTCTTCCGCAGAACCTCAACCTGTATATGAATGAATAATCCAACGAGGTGACCCGCTCTGATACCAAATGAAAAGTCTACAACAGTTGAAACCAATAAGAACACAAGGAATTCAAGATCAACTGTATCTTTATTAAGAATCACTTAAACAACCTTTTACAAAGACTTGTCTAATCCGAATTACACAACGCCACACACGGCTTGCCACAGATCAATTCTTAATATACCCTTTGCGTGAACCAACCCCTGTTGATCACGTTTACAAATCACTCACTTCCTGAAACCCCAAAACCCCAGTTTGTGTTTCTGTGAGAATACAACGTTGAAAGCTTAACCTAATCCTAGGTCTCAACTTTCCTATATATTGCCACCAATCTTTTCTAATTGTGCAATATATCTTTTCCTAAAAATCAGCATCCCAAATCTTCAATTTGTGATCTGAGGATCTTCTAGTTTGTGAATCACGTTCAAACAAGATCAGCTAATGAAAATTCTCCATGTCACCACGCTTTAGTTCTTCATTCCACGAAGATGTGTTACACACTATCATCCATGTGTAACACAATCGCAACACTCCAGACTCCAACATCCTTGAGTATGTACGAACTATACTCTAATGAATCATGTCAATCAATACTATCTCTGCGTCATTGCACCAACATGTCAAACTCCAAATCCTTGAGCTTACAAAGTCTTCCGATCAAAGATGACCGTGACGTCATTTGAATCAATTCCAATTAGAGAGAGAGAAAACATGAAAATTTTCTCTGATATGGATTGGTGTCACACAACAAAATCGCAAACGATAGGAAAATCCGAGAAAGCGGAAGGAGATATCGATATCTTGATGGAAAATATGTTACATCAAAAAACAAAACTTATCTTCATCCCTCTGAAAAATCTATAAACGTGAAGAGGGAGATGAAGAAATATTTTTTCTCTCTCCAAAATATGAGAGAGACTGTTTAATAAATTAGACTAGTGTCTGTGACATCTTTGCAAATTTTAGAATTAGTGTACATATGGAATGCAATTATCTATACTAATAATGCCAAAATCTCTCCTTATATTATGTCCTTACTCTTCTTAGTTATTTTCATTTCCTTTATATATTTTATTTTTTTAGTCAGAATATATACATCCAATCAGTTCCAAAGTTTTTATGACCAATCATCAACCACAATTAAATTATGAAATATTCCAAGACTAAAAAACAATTAAATCATGTATAATCTCTCTCCTTTATCATTTTCTTTTCAAAATGTACTACATATTTATTATCTTAATAACTATTTATAGCAATTTCCTAAAAACATACCCTTTATAACTTTTATATAATAATCTTCAGAATATTATAGTTTTGCACTTTACAGTTTTTTTTATAAACAAACACTATATATATTTTTATTAAAAATAATAAATAAAAAATAGTAAGTTTAAAATATTTGAAAATGAAATTTCAGTATGTAAAACTGATATTATAAATATGTCAGAAATACTAGAATATTTGTAAACAAATATCTTAACAAACAATCTATAAATGTGTATAAAAACCTTTAACTAAACATATCAAAAACATTTTTTGGGAATTCGTCATATCAAAATTATATACCTCAGCAAGATTTTGTCAAATATATTTTTAATCATTGAAAATTATATTCAGTTTTAAAACATTAAAAATTATTTTAAAATAATGAAAGAGATTCTAAATAGACAAACTATAGTATTTTGATTCTCATATATGTCTTGAAATATATAACTTTAGATAAATATAAAAATTAATAATATTAACAAATTATATATGTTAATATATGGGTTATATATGAATCATCGGGTTTATCTATTCGATCACACAGATCTGGATCGGATATGAAATATTGCTTTAAATTCAAACATTATAATATAACAACTTTAAAATTATCCGGACAGACAATTTTGCACACAATTCTAGTAAGCAGCCACCCTTCTTCGTTCATATGAATGCACAATTATCAATTTCGTTTGCAGAATTGTCATCAATTTGTTTTATGTTAATAACAAAAGAAAAAAAAACTTAAGAATTATTTGTTTTCTAATAAAAAGTTATAGATCGATCAACAGAAAATGCAAGTGTCTATCAAAATCTAGTTCTAAAATTAAAATACCATCCCCTTCTACTTAGGGGGGGTTAGTGGTAAACTAATTCATGCTGATTTCAAAAATCCATGGATTTGTTTTTTCTTAAAGATTTTCATGGATTGTAATAATTTATCCTCCCTTATTTATAGAATCTGTATATTTTGCTGTGTGGAATGTCGTAGATTTATTTGGATTCATATTAACTTTTTCTACCGTTATTTGGTGATACAATAATAACTTTTATATATCTTCCATATAATATCTATTCAAATAAGGTATGTTTTAGTCTATTTAAAAAGAGTAGTTGCGTGTAAGAATTATTTTGTGCTTTATATTCATCTTTCAGAGCTTGCATAGGTAACACATGTCTTTCTCTCTTTTTTTATGATGTCTTGCTCTGTTTTTAATCGTAGTTTTGCATTATATTACATATTATCTAGCTTGGTTGTGATTATTGTTGTTTTCAAGTTACGTTTGGTTTAGTTTTTTTTTAATGCAAATTAGAAGCAAAACTTTTAACGCCTATGTGTTTGTTAGTGATAAATATTTTGTGCATTTTTATACTAACTATAGTTAACTTTACATAAGATAGCAATGGGTGATAAGGAAAAAAATCAGTATAGTTTATGGAGTCCCGATGAAACAAAAGTTTTGATAGAATTACTTGTGGAGGCAATTCAACGTGGGTGGCGTGATAATAACGGTATATTGAACAAAGCAACGGTGGAACATAAAATGCTTTTCCAGAGGAAGTGATCACTCCAAACATTAACCAAACAAATTTTGAAGAAGCTATTCATGTGGGTGCTCTTAAATCTCAACAAAGAGAATATGCTAATAACTGGAGAGACACAATAGCTTTTAATATGTGGAATGACGCGATAGAAGCTGGAAGTCAGCGTTAATGGAGAGATATATTTCTATGCTTCTATATTATGGTGTCACTTATTACTTTTCATGTGTTATGGTGTCACTTATGACTTTCACATTTTTATTTTATTGGCATAACCAATCTGGAATAATCGTACTGATATCACTTATTATTTTCTCACATTTTTATTTTACGTTCATTAGTGACAGTGTTGTGATAAGCATAGTCATATTGTTTTATTGGTTCAGCCTGCAAAAGAATTTTTACGGTGTTACGGTGTTTAGAAAAATAATGTTTATTAGGTGTTGTTGTGTAACTCTGCAGTCACGTAAGTTTGTCATCTACTTTGAGAATACAAGGAGTAAGCCAAGTATTTTGAAAGTTATGATTAATGAGTAAAATGTAAAGAATCATTGTTCCAATAACCCTATATTTTGATAGAATGACAAAATCAAAAAATACTTTTTGAATAACAAGAGACTTTAAATAGAGTTACAAAATCATCACACCAATAACAAGATATTTGTATGGAATTATAAAATCATCACACCAATAAAACACTACTTTTTAAGAATCTAAGAATCATATTACCAATAACAACATACTTTTGAAATTCTTCAAATCTTCATAAATCCATCACCCACTAACCCCCCTGGACGTGAATCATATTACCAATAACAACATACTTATGCTGAGCTACTCGTCCCGATGCCAATGTTTCTTTCTTCTTCGTGAAATCTAGAGCTTATCAGATGGGCCTGACACTGGACCGCAGCATGGGCCCATCAATGGAATGGATAACAAAAGCTAGAGGGACGGAAGAAGTGGTGAAAAGTAGGGAGAATCAGATGTTGGTGCGCTTACCAGTAGCAGCTGCAAGCACCGTCTCTGTCTTTCTCCGCCGGCGAATCCCCGCCGCTTGTCTGCTATCCACGATGACTTCGGATTCCTTTGGTGCCGCCTTCACGACCATCAAAGAAATCGTATCCTTAGAGAAAGAGATTAAAAAGAGCAAATTCATCGCAATCGCCGGTCCTATCTCCAGTGACCAATCGGCTCAACAGTTCCTCTCTCAGGTCAGAGATCCTCGCGCTACGCACAACTGCTGGGCTTACAAGGTGATTCGATTTTTTTTTTTAAACATTACAAAATGGGATTTTTGAATGGTTCTTTAGTTTCGATTTATTATTATTAGTAGGTTGGTGATCAACATCGATCTAATGATGATGGTGAGCCATCTGGCACAGCAGGAAAGCCGATGCTGTCTGCAATTTGTTCATCTGGATTAGACAGAGTTATGGTTGTTGTCATTAGGTGGGTTTCTAAATCTTTATAAGAATCTAGTACTGATTATTCATCATCCATTGAATATTTGTGTAATGTGTGAGTGTTTAAGGTATTTTGGGGGCATCAAACTCGGAACCGGAGGTCTTGTTAGAGCATATGGTGGTGTTACCTCTGATTGCTTGAAAACTGCTTCGACTTGCCTTGTCAAATCTAAGGTAAAGCAAAAGTCCTTTTTCCCATATTGTGTTGTATGATGTTCTTGTTTAATCATGCACATTTGGTTTCTTCCTGCAGGTTCAAATGGGAGTCGAGGTGACATTTGATCTTTTAGGTGTTGTTTACAATCAGGTTGCTTTCTGATCTCCACCTTAATTAATCTTTTTATTTTTCTTATGGATGATGAGAGATTGTATGTTGTCAGTGCTCGCTCATCTGTCTTTATATGTGTGTGTCACAGCTGCAGGCATGCCAGGCTGAAGATATCAAGGAAGACTATGATACTGGTAAAGATGGTACCACCATGGTTTCCTTCAAGGTTGATTTTGACCAGGTTGATAAATTAGAGGATGCTATCAAATCTAACTGCAAACGAGACCTTGTCTCTTTCAAAAACCTAGCAAATGGTAGCCAACTCTGTTAAAACATTATCCAGTAATTGTTACAGGAAAAAAGTAAAGCTATTTCTTTTGGTTTGTTCTTAGCAACTTAATGAAGAATGCCTCGTCCAAGATTATGACCCTGCTTCAACCATATGTTACGTTATGTATATTGATGGCCTACTACAGGACCGGCTTAAGGGCCCTGTGCTATATTTTCAAGGAAGAATTTGTGAGATTTATGTTTGGAGAAGAAATGAAATGTATGTCAGTGATTTTGACATGATTAGGAAACTAACAATTATGTATAAGGTTAGTCGGTTTTAACCTTCTTTTATACAAGTAGTAGGTGAAGGATAAAAGATTAGATGACATAAAAAAAAATTAAAGTATTGACTAATATTTAGTTCACATCTAAAATTAAAGTATGACTAATATTAGTTCACATCTAAGAGAATATAAAAAACCATGTTACACGTTTATGATCACATACATTGCATTGAGTGTTTTATTCCGCGTGAAATAATAAAAAGATTTAACTTCACTGCATACTCTAATTCTAAACATTATCCTAACTCCAACTCCTATATACTAAACATTAGTCCAATCTCACCCCAATCCTTTAATACTAAACCCTAAACTTAAATATAAACTCTAAATCCAAATATAAATCTCTTATATACTACACATTAGCCCAATCTCACCCTAACCTCTTAATATTAAACCCTAAACCCAAATATAAATCCTAAATCCAAATAGAATGGAACAAAATTAATAAATAATATGGTATATAATGGTGAAACTATAAAATGTCTATGATTTCATGGAAGAAATTAATGCTGACCTCAACCATACCCCCTCAACATTCTAAATACTAAACCATAAATCATATTCACTAAACCCTACATTGTGTTCACTAAACCCAACTATAAGCCATAAACTCAAATAAAATTGAACAAAATAAATCATAAACAAAATAGAACCCAACGAAAACACTCTTTAGTAATCATTAAATAGAATGGAACATGATAAAACAGAACAATAACAGAATATATCACATTTCATAATAAAAATAGAAAAAAACATAATATATATTATTTTACATTTATATTCCATATGTGAATAGAATAGAACAAAATGATCAAAACTGTTCATCTTTTTCGATCAACTTAGATCATTCACATCAACAAAATATAAGTGTATCTGACAATATCAATGGAGATGGATTTTCTTGTGTCTACAGTAAATAGAAGAGAAGAGCATACAGTAGTGAGGTGATGATGGTGACTATGCCGATTGAAGAACCGAAGTAGTGGCGAAAGATGATTACGACAAATGAGATGTGAAAATCGAGGAGAAAGGGGCGGATTCGACGGGTTTTCTATGGTGGTTGTCGGAGACCTTTCATTTTCTAGGAAATTACTAAGATATGTTAAAAAGAAGTTATGGAGGATGGTAAACCACGATTTACAGTTTTACACCAACTAAAAATTAATATTTTTTCGTGCAAGTGAAACCGGTTGATCCTAAGGATAATATGGTATTAATATAGAAAAAATGGCGTAAGTGGATCTGTTAGAGTTTTTGGCTAATTGGCCAATTAGCCTTTTTTGTCTTGCTATAGAGCCTAATTTCCTTATTTTTTTTAGTAAGCCTGTACAAAATTGTTCAAGCAGTAATGTGTTAAAAGTCTGAGTTGAAAATATTAAATAACTTCAAAATATATCTTTATAGATATGGCCCATGTCTTGTATGAAATTTGTTAGATGTTTTAATTTTATAAAGAACCTAAAAATAAGAAACCATTTACTATAGATTTAGGATTCTTTTTTCATATGCTCTGTGAGATTTATTTTAGAATTAAGAACTTGTTTTTGCACATAAATTCTAGTTAATAATTGTAATTTAATTATCATGTTGCATATAAGAGTTGTTATCAATTTTTTATTTATGGTTAGAGAAATATTCATACATAAAAACTAAACCCAACATTTACAGTGAATTTTTTTGAAAATTAGAATAAGGTCAATTGAGTCAATGGAGGCATCATACATGTTCTTATATACTAAATAATGTTTGTATTAATTTACTATATGTTTTTCTTCATGTCTAAATATATTCTAATGTTTTTAGTCGTTTAGTGAAGTTTGTATTGTCATTGTAGGGTCGTTGAATATTTTTTTGTGCACTTGTTATCGTCTATATATTTGTTTCGCATGATCTATAAGTTTTTAATTGTTCAACCAATAGAGATCATTTTGGATCATCATTTTTATCATTTAATTAATAATAGATTTTATAGCCACAAAAATTTATGTACATATTGAAGGCTATATTTATGAATCTCATTATTGGAGTATCTGACTATAAATATATATAACTTTTTAACTATAGTTTTGTGAAGAAAAAAACTGTAGATTTATGGGTGATAAATATTCAAGTGAATAAATGATTTTATTATATGTTGTCATAAGGCTGAAGAAGAAACAATATTGAAGATTCTTCTAAGTTAAATTTAAATATATGACATTTAGTATCATATATATGATTTCGAAACTTTATACCGAAGATTCTTATAGGAAACATAAACGTTTATAATTTTTTGACAATTATAAATTTTTCTTATTTAGTAAATTAATTAAATAATAAAATTTAATTTTATATATGAAATATATTTGTGATTATATTTTGATGCCAGTGTTGTAGTCGTGTTACTCTCGATTTATCTTGGTTATGTTATTTACATTAAAGGAGTTTATGTTAACATATCATAAATTCTTAATCTATTAACACAAAATTATTCACATGATTACATAACCGATCTAGAAAATTTTCTATACAAATGCATAACCAAGATTAACATAAGAATAATTGAAAAGATCGAAACATTATAACAAATATATCTCGTATATAAGATTAATTTTTATTTAATTAAATTTTGTTAATTTTAGTAAATAATTAAAAGTTAGAAGTTGGCACGTTTTTTTATAAACATTTACATTTTCTAAATATTATCTTTATAAAACCACTATTTTATTTTATCTTTGTAAAAACATATTATACACGTGACATCTTCGTTAGAAAAACTAGTTTATGTAGCATTTACGTCCGTAAAAAATAGATGATGTGTCAGATGATGTGGCGAATTGTTGATTTGGATAAAAAGATTAAAGACCAGAAGTATTTTTTGAGTTTTTTTGAAATGTACAATTATGTTTGTACACAGTTATATAAGGTGGGTATGAATTGTATATAGCGTGATATGTTGGTATGAAATGATTTTTTCGTCATCTTTTGGATTAATATTGAAAAAACCGTATCTTACACAAAGCCAACAAAGGAACAAAACCTTCCCGGAGCCATAAGCCGACGAGGTAAAACAACACCCCTCGGAACCAAAAGTAAAAACAACAACGAAGAGCATAAGCTTAAACTAAAACAAAGGAGGGTCAGATCACTATAGGAGAGGAGAGTACCACCTTGCACTCAAGGACGGACATACCTAACGAGAACACATCCACAAATAACACCAGAGGAAAAGATCATCGAGATGGACATGATGCACACAAACATCACCAACACATAAAAAAAATCGAGAGAGGTTAGAATCCTTAACTGTCGTTGTACACCCTTCAATCCCAACTAAGACTCGCCATTGGACCTTGATTGGGCTCCACACACCTCATACACACCAATACCCCACGGCGAAGCCTTTTTCCGAACACGCTTTATTTACGCAGCTGGTAACTGGATAAAAACAACCCCAGATCCAGAACAATCACGAACAAACCGGTGGCAATCAACCAACATTGGAGCATTCGCTCTTAAAAACATCTATCTCCTTCAGATTCTTCTCAAAACTAAAATTGAGCTCGTAAAAGGCTCTGGTCCTCAAAGATCAACAACCACAATAGTTGAATTCAAGAACATAGACAGTACATCAAGCCCAACCTTTCTAAACAGTCCAAACAGAATATCGGTTCGTAGACAAAGCAAAGACATAGACATCTAAACATACCAAATACTAAAAACCCTAGATGAGAAAAATACAGATTAAGAGAATTGAAACCGGCCTGTCGTTGTAGCTTGCCCTTCATATCCACCTAAAACTCGCCATTGGCCTCTGATAGGACTTTCCATGCGCCTCCACACTCCGGCAAGGCCAAACGAAGCCTTCTGAACCCGAACCTCCTCAATACAGCCGGTAACCGTTGACCAACCCCCACAAACACAAATATGATGAGATCTGTGTTGGTGGAGTCCGATTTCATATTTTCCGCTTAATCCATAGGGTTGAAGCTATAGACCAGATTTGAGTATATCTAGAGAAAAAAAAAAACTTAAGAACAAAAGCCCATCTTCTTACAGTACAAACGCCACAAACGTCGCCGACCTGAGAAGGTGAGATACAACAACCCTTTTTTTCTCTTGCTCTCAAGTTTTTTTCTAGAGTATTTGCACTCCATATACAAACATAAGTGCATAATTTGCACGGATGGAAAAAGCACTTTATGCTGAGCTATTATTTTTTAATTGCCATTTTACCCCTATCTGATTTATACAAGACATGTATATATTCAAATTATACATCGATATATCATCTCTTTCAGAAAATTAAGCAATATACACTCTCTGTTTCCTTACTATTAAAACTCCCGCGTACATTTTTCATTAAAATTTTTTTTTGAATCGCTAAATCTGTGTACTCGGGTTTTCACCGGTGAGAAGACAAAAATAATGTTTTGAAAAAGGAAGATGACGGGTTCAGGTATATTTGACCCCAAGATGGAGATGGATTCAATTTTCTCTCACCATGGTTCATCTGATTCCAGTTCTGATTTTAACATCAGGAACTTTTAATTTCACGGCCGTGCTTCACCCTTCACCTCTGTTTTCGTCGAGATCAAAACCATTGCAAGATTCACACGGCGTAGTCCTCCGTTACAGGATCTTCAGCCGCCTTGCTCTACCGACGTTGTCATACTCGAAAGTCGGAATTGAAACTCGCTGTCATGCTCATCCTTGCCATCGTCATCAAGCTCCAGATTTGGCGAAGGGAAAGGTTGATCTCTCCAATGGCAACCTTTTATGTTTTTGCACGATTGGTCCTTGTCGTTCTGGTTCTTGTTAGTTTATCCCCAAATGTTTTAAATTTATTAAACATCTTCTTGAATCAACTCTGATATACAGTTATATATTTTGTTAGCGGTTACATATTTTGTTAGCAAGCCATACGAACACCAAATGTATTAAACAGTTAAAGTTTTTATCAGACATGATGTGTAATTAAGCTCTGTTAACAAGCTATATGAGCATGTTTTCGAAAAAAATTCAATTTGTATAATTTCAAATGACA